GGATTTGGGAAAGAGATGCTGAGATCTGGTTAAATTTCAAGTAAACTAAATATAAATGAAGTAAAAATAAGAAGAGAAAAATTAAATAAAAATTACAGCACAACACACAGGTATCTAAGGGCATTTTTCAAAACTCAGAATTCACGTAATTACCTGAAAAATGTGGATTTCCTGGCCCCACTCTCAGAATTCAATGTTAAGTGTAGAGTAAGACCTGAAATGTGCATTTTTAAAAATATTTTTAGTTGTCAATGGACCTTTATTTAATTTATTTATATGTGGTTCTGAGAATTGAACCCAGTGCCTTACACATGCTAAGCAAGCGCTCTGCCACTGAGCCACAACCCCAGTCCTGGAATATGTATTTTTAATAAAACCTTCTGGGTAATTCTGGTCCAAATAGTGAATAAATCCATTTGAAAAACTATCTTGGAATGTCTGAGGAAGAGGGTCAATTAATTGGAGGGATTTGTCCCAGAAAAACTTGAGCAATAAAAATGAAAACAAAACAAGGGGAGGGAGAGAGGGAAATAGAGAAAGAGAGATAGAGGGAGTTGGGGAGGAAGAGGGAAAATCAAAGTATTACAGATATGCACCAAGAGAAGGCTGATAACTGATGCACACTGATTTAACAGTAGAATCCTTCAACAGGATAGAACTGTTTAAGAGGCGGTTCACTCCTGGATCTTAGGTAGGGATTTCCATTCCACAGGGTAGCTAGGAAAGTCAGCACAAGGAACCTAAGGATGTGTTTACATCACATTTTCAAAGAGCCAGAAGAAGGCAACTCTGATGTAGCAGGAAGACATGGGATTCAGAAGTCTAACTCTAACTCTGYCCTTTGCTGGGTGTTACAGTCACTTAGCATTTCCAGCTTCTAAACTCTAAAAGGAGGGCTATGACCTACCTCTAGGGATGGTGGTCAAGAATAAATGATACAGCTGTCTATACAGAATACATCAAACAACAACCAGTATAGTTATAAGGAACTAGAGGTTACTAACTTTCTTAAACACTGATTACAAGATTTTTTTTTTTTCCACAGTAATAGGGATTGAACCTAGGGGTTCTTTGCCACTRAATTACAACCCCAACTCTTTCTATTTTTTATGTTGAAAAAGGATCTTGCTAGGTTGCGTAGGCTAATCTTGAACTTGTGATCTTCCTGCCTCAATCTCCCAAATAGCTGGAATTGCRGCTGTATGCCACTGAGCCTAGTCAACACTGATTATAAATTTTCGGAAGCATCTGGCCAAATGGCTAGAATTGTACATTAAGTCTCACAAAGCTCAGCAGCATGCTACATAGAAGTGGGAAGAAGCCACCTGGAGAAATCAGAATTCACAGAACATTCCAGAAGAATGTGGAAAAAAAACGTCCCTTTATCTAATGGTGAAAAATGATGAGGAAAGGAGAGAAGACTCAGTATTTATGCAGATTACCCCTAGTGAAGTATAGAGGTTTTTCACTGCCCTTGGGATAAAGCCACAGTGACAGCCCAGCAGCTTCTTCTTCAACTATTCCTCATGGCACTTCTGCTCCAGGAACATACTATAAGGATCTTACTATATGATCTCACTATAAGGACTCAGGAGAGGACTTGAGGTGGCTTTCCAAAGAGTGCTTAGTCAGGAAAAGAATAGAACAGTGAGCTATCTTTGTCAGGAATCTGGGGCTAAGCTTAATTTTCTTTGGACAATGAAGAATATGTGCCCTTATTTTTTTCTAAAGGGGAGTCATGGTAAGGTAGAGAAGGCGGCATTTCCTATTGGAGTTCATTTTTTAAAATGCCAATCCTGTCTCAGTTCAATGAAAAGACAAAGGCAGACCCAAACAAAGGTGAGGGAGCAAATGCCAGGTGGCCACAGCAGTGGTCAGCCTGGCTAAAGGATGGGGAAGGAGCCAGTTCAGGTATAAGACAGCTGGGAAACCCTGGAAATGGACATCTGCTAGATCACTCCTGTGTTCCCCACCCCCATCTCTCCTCTCCAGATGGTTGTTTAGTCAGAGCTTTTCTTTGTTCATAGATCAGGGTCTTTGAGAGGAAAAAGGTAGGAAGGTTATTTGCTGAGTTAAGTCAAGAAAAACCTTTTGAGTATAGAGATCACAATTTTTTCTTTAACATCCTGCTGACTCAGGTGTCACACTAGATGATGGATGAAACTTTATATGTCAAAAGAAAACTATCTGATCACCTTTAGTTTCCACAGTGYTCACGATGACATTTACGTGACTAGCATTCCATGGGATAAAGAATGAAAATGACAAGTGAGGGTGTATGTCCTACAGGGGCCTCTTGAAAGGAAACATACTCAAATGTGAAACTAGTCGAGTCTTGACTTAAAAGCTGTACCTTAGCTCAGCATGTATAATTACAGAAAAACAAGGGGAATGAGCATGAGGAACATGATCAGGCCACCAAGGGTGGAACAAGTCAAATCCATACAGAATATGATGAAAACAAAGAATTCCACCTGTATCCTTTAGAGGGACTATGAAAAAGAAACTGTATAGTACCAAGAAAAAACACTAAACATTACTATGAGAAAATGAGATATATTTTATTAAGCAGTAATTTCTGAGGTCAATTTCTGTCTGCTTTGGTTATATGGTTCCCGCCACTAAAGTAAGCAGAGCTGGATGGAAGGAAAATAGAGRTGTTAATAAGATGCTTCAGGAAACAGAAGAATGAAGTCTTGTGTAATGCTGTACAGAACAAACTGAATTACAGTTACCATGAAACCCCAGAGCAAGAAAAATACCATTTGGCCAAGAGAAGGGGCTGAGGAACAGGTGAMAGATAGCAAGCAGCTTGGCCTCTGAAGAGTCAAAACAACAGACTTTCAACACAGCTGTCAGAACCTTGGGGAGATCCAGAAGGGAATCTACTGCTATAAACAAAACAATCAATGAGGGGTTCTGTTCACAGAAAAGAACAGAGATCCTGGATCAGCAGAAACACTGATTTCTATTTCCATGAGAAAAGATTAAGTCAACTAATCAATAGGATATATGTAAAAACAAGGGACTGGAGGTGACAGAAAGACAGAAAGGATGCTCTTCAAAAAATGATATGCTAATGGTAGCAGAAATTGGGTCACTTTGGTTGCAAAGAAAAATTCTGAATATGCAAATGTAATGAATATATACTGCAAAGCTCAAATGTGATATATTTGAAACCATCTGTTAAATGTCAAGTCTATGCATCTGGCAGGCAGGGAGGACAATGGTCAGGTTCATGTACCTGTAATCTGCAGATACATTTAATAGCTTTTTAAGCCAACCAGTTTTAATGATGTACCCAGGAAATGCTGACAAATGTTATTAACAACAATTTGACTAAGAGAACTACTTGATTTGAATTTTAAGTATTTTTGAAGTACCTGCTCAGCTCCTTTGGTGGACACACTAATATACAGAGGAATGGTCACTGAAGCAGCTAAAGCACTGGCACCTGGATAATTCATGTGTGACTATCTTTTGGCAAAGTGAATGAACACTCCTAGTGGACAATACTTTGGCTTCACGTACCTTCATACACTTAATTAATGAAAGCACATATTACCTGTCTAAGAATGTCAATGAGGGCTGAGGGTAGCTCAGTGGTAGTGCACCTACCTAGTATGCATGAGGCTCTGGGTTTGTTCCCCAGCATGGTGTGGAGGGGAGAGGGGACATAAAGGGTCAATACTGAGAAGAAATTTTAATTTACTTGAGAAATTTACTTTAGGAAAATAAAATTATTTTACTTTAGGAAAATAAAATTATTTTGGTTGGTTAAAACAAAAAAGAAGCAGTATATATACAAAAGTATGGGAGAAAAAAATATAGGTTAAAAATGACTTATAGAAAGGATTCATAGTCAATGAAGAGATGATGTGCAATTACAAGTAATGCAATTTTCTTAACTTCATAAATAAGAGAACAAAGGGCAACATGCTTGCTGTATGAGAGTTTATTTCCCTCTCTTTTAACTTTTTTTTATATAAAGAAATGCAATGACTAAAGAATGTAAGCAATTGTTTTATTTTCTTCCTCCACAGGATAGTTTAGACATCTTCAAGGAAGGAGACAAGATCTTAAAAAAGAAAGCCTGTGRATCTGCAAATTCCATGTGAATATAACAAAAATAATACCTTTTAATTAAAGTTGATTAAACTTTGGCTAAGAACTTACTAGCTATGTGCATTTTTTTCTTATGTATATCATAGAGCAATAAAAACATTTTAAAAAATCTCGTTAGTTGAAAGATAAATGAAATTGTCAAAATACATCTTGAAAAAAAAAATGTTTTGACAGGGATTTCAGAAGAATAAAGGACAAARAACATACCAGATGCTGACAGATAAGCAATTTCATGAGTTCCAAAGAATCTAGTGATGCTGGTGATAGGCTATTAGGACTCRAAAACTGAAAAATGAATTCTCCTTGTAATCTAGAGGTACTCTACCTCAAGGTCACATTAGCAAGAAATACCTTAGAATAGATTTACACCCATGGGATGAGTGCTTTTGCCTCTCAATTCTTGCAGACTGTCCCTGGGCCTGCTTTGTATCTACCACCACCTAGGCACTCAGAACTGCCAGACCTAGCACATCTGGCAATTCTACAAGCCCCAGAGGGCTGGGTAGGAACAAGTTTGTTCATCCTGGTCCCATGAAGATGGAACTGCTCCAAGAGGAAACCAGTGTCTCCATTCCTACTATAAAGGTGCAAATGCCCAGAGTTTACTATGTTGAGATAGAAACAAGCTCTTAGAAAAATGTAACTGAGTTGCAGACCACACGGAACCTCCACAGGAATCAGATCGCAGGATTTTGCCATTTAATCAGCAACGCTACAAGATTTGGGGTATGTTTTCCACTTTGGACCCAATTCCTACAGGGCATGCATACATTTTAATCTCTGCTATTTTGGCATGAGCTGGAGTCTTGTCTTTAACCATAACCAACATGTCCAGAAGAAAAGCCAACTTAGTAGTATTATTTTACTTTACTTACCTCTTTGACACTATGTGTCACTGCCCATATTAGAAAAACTCTTGACATCACCTGGAAAGAAGTCAGGACAACGGAAGATGGAACAATTCCTGAAAGAAATTTTAAGACGGATGAATAAGTTTCATCATGTAATACATTAAAATTTAAATGTTTTTATCACCAAAACCGTCTTGAGCAAATAAAATTTATCTGTATTGMTATACACACTAAATTTAACGTAGTAAGTATTCAACTTTTTCCTCCCTCAAAACAATAATAATATGCATGGTACCCACAGAATCTGGCTACTTTTCTTAAGTCTTTCAAAACCAATTACCAAGTACTATATTTTTTACATTTATCAACTACAACAAAACTACTACTCAACCTTTAAAATAGAGCAATGAAGGTTCATTTTATAATATGGGTTTCAAAACAAATAAATAGTGGGTAGGAAATCAATTCTGTGTCTAATAAATGTTGAAAGCTCCTGGATATTAGCTATGATACACTCTTTAATGGTTGAGTACCTTTTATCTACTTGTATGTTTTGCCAATCAGCATAGCAAAATCAGAGATCATTATCTTTTTTTTTTTTTTTTTTTTTTTGGTGCCCGGGATTGAACTCAGAGGCACTCAACTACTGAGCCACATCCCCAGCCCTATTTTGTATTTTATTTAGAGACAGGGTCTCACTGAGTTGCTTAGCACCTCACCATTGCTAAGGCTAGCTTTGAACTTGTGATCCTCCTGCCTCAGCCTCCCTAGCTTCGCAGCCTCCCTAGCTTTGTGTACCCATGAACTGGCTACAGATCTTTATCTTTAAAACTGTTTCTTCTTACCTTGTCCATTACAAGAATGGATACAATTATTCTCCCAATGTCCTCAATTTATAGCACTGGAACATCTTTATTTCAGATAATCACYAAATTCTGCTAAGCTTACATTTCTTTGGCTTGGCCTATCCCTTCAATTGCTACAACCATAATCCCTATTAAATAAAGACGAACTACCATCATTATATAGAATTTTTGCCTCCCTTCATTTATCTTAAACCCAGCAAYAAGTCATTTTTTCTCTAAACATTCTTTTCTCCTTATAACTTTACACTGATAAGGAGTTAGTAGAGTTACAGGTTTTTCAATCCATCAGCCCTTCTGTTTCTGGACTCACTACCACCACAGCTATGCTTACCAACTTCCTGAACCTTTCAAGTTGCATACGGGCAACTCCACACCTGTTGGAGCCCTCAGCCTGGCTGCAAGTCCTCCTTCCACTTTAAGACTAACTTCATCTTCCTCAGTCACTGAACTATTCTAGACCAATTTTCATTCTTCCAAGCCTCTCTATGCACTCAGACTTCTGAACATTTTTATAGTTAGACAAACTACAACTTGCCCAGAGACCAGGTATAAATCAGATCTATAAATGCCTCTATGGGTTGGCACAAATAATTTTATCTCTCATTAACTCTAAAATGAATTTATTAAAGAAAACTTGGGCTTTGAAGAGGAATAGTTTGTTTTCCAAAAGCAAACAACATGAATATGTCAAGCTCAATGCCTGGTATACAGGGGTGCCCAATATATCTTTGTAGAATAAAACGAATAAAAAAGTTTAAATGCAGTGATATATAGATAAAAGGCATAGAACTGAGACTCCAGAAATAAACCCATGCATTATGGTCAGTTGACTTAGAGTGGGGATTGAACCCAGGGGTGCTTTACCATCCCTAGCCTTTTTTTTTTTTTTTTTTGAGACAGTATCTCACTAAATTGCCCAGGCCAGCCTTGAACTTGCAATCCTCTTTTCTCAGCCTCTTCAGTAGCTGGGATTATCGATGTGTGCTACCATGCCCGGCACTTGATTTTCAGTAAGGATGCCAAAACAATTCAATAGAAAAATTACTGTCTTTTCAACAAATGATGTTGGAACAAATAGCCACATGTAAAAAGAAAAAGAGTGGGGGGACTGAACCACTTCCCCAGCATGTATTTACACTAACTCAAAATGGATCAAAGAAYTGAATGTAACAGCTAAAACTATAAAAATCTTAGTAGAAAGCATAGGTGTAAATCTTATAGCTTTGAATAAAATAGCTTTTATTAGATATGACACCAAAAACACAAGGAAAAATAAATAAATTGGACTTCATAAAAAGTAACTTTTATGCTTAAAAGAATACCATCAGTAAAGTGGAGACAACCTATAGAGAGGAGAAAATATTTGCAATCATATGTAATAAGGGAATTATATTAAGATATATAAAGAAGTCTTATAATTCAACAATAAAAAGACAAGTAAATAACCCAATTGAAAAATGGGCAAATAATTTGAAAGGGCATTTCTCCATAGAAGACATAAAAATGAACAATAAACCCATGAAAACATGTTTGAACATCATTAGTTATCAGGGAGATCCAAATCCAAATCAAAATGAGATATTTACACATAATAGGATGGTTATAATAAAAAAGACAACAACAAGTGTTGGCAATGATGTGGAAAAGTGGAACCCTCATACTTGGCTGGTAGCATTGTAAAACGGTATGGCCACTCAAAAAAAGCTATTGATAGACTCATCATACTCTACTTCAAGGTATGTGTATAAATGAAAAAATATATTTTTTCATAAAAACTTGTACATGCATGTTCATAGTGGTATTCATATTAGCCTCAAAGTAGAATTAAAAAATGAATAAATAATGAATGGATAAAATGTGGCACATCCATAAAAAGAAAGATTAGAATTAAATAAATAAAAAGTAATGAATAAGTAAAAAGAAATGAAGTGCTGATTCATGCCACAATATTAATGAACCTTGAAGACATTATGCTGAGTAATAAGAAGCCARTGATATATGCCAGTGATATAAGCCAGTACCTATTTTGTGATTTAATTTATATGATTTAATTTATATATCCAGAATAGGTAAATCTATAGTGATTGAAAGATTAATAGTTACCCCGAGCTGGGAAGTATGGAGGCAAATGGGAAGCAACTGCAAATGGATTTCTTTTGGGGGTAATRAAAATGTTCTACAATTGATTGTGGTAATGGTTGCACAACTAATTATACACTCTAAATGGGTGAATTATATCTAAATAAAGCTGTTATTAAAAAAAATAAGTGTATGAGTGAAGTACAATGCCTCGTTATGTAATTATGTAATACAGCTAAAGAAGCTAATTAGCGAGTCAAACATTTAGTGAATATACTTAGCCAGATCATACTTCAAATAAGAAAAAGTTAAAAAAAAAAAAGAAAACAGGACTAAGAATTAAAAGTTGTTTATATGAATTACTAAGCATTTACTCTATGGAAAGACCACCATTTCTAGCTGCCACTGCTGCTTTGCCTTTTTTTTWAAAAAACTCAAAACCAGCTGATTTTTCGTTTCATTTTTGTTCTTTCTTCTTTTGCCACTAAAGCCACAGGCTGGACTGTTGCTATTTGCAGTGGTGCTCCAAGGGTTGCTGCTGTGTTGTGGTGAGGATTGAGCAGTCCAGGAGCTGGACTTCAGATTTACAAGTTTGAAAACCTGATTTTATCCTACTCACCAGCAAGAACCAGGCTCTGGGAGACTGACTCATACTAATCAAAACCACAGGAGACTAGGTAATAAGCCCAAATGTCAATTCATTTATTTATAATAGCTGCACAGTTTTTCTAATAACTGAACAACAATGGGTTTTTCTGGTGTCAAAATCAGAATGCTTAGTTTGACTTTAAACAGGGTGACCTGGAAGGTCTGGAACAGAGTACTGCAATTTAGGTGAGCACAGATTATTAATTATCTCTCCTCTATCGCAAAGCATCTCTTTTATAGATAATTTTAGATAATTTTCTTAAAAATGCTAAACAAAAATTATCAGAATGTTCTTATTAAAAATAAGTTTTAGTTGGGCACAGTGGCTTACACCGTAATCCCAGTGCTCAGGAGACTGAGGCAGGAGGATTCCAAGTTCAAAGCCAGCCTCAGCAACTTAGCATGGCCCTAAGAAACTTAGCAAGACCCTGTCTCAAAAAAATAAAAAATAAAAAGAGGGCTGGGGATTGTGTTTCAGTGGTTAAGCATTCCTGGGTTCAATTCCTGATACCAAAAAATTTAAAAAATTCAAGTTTTAGTATCCAAAAAACAATGATTTACTATTTTGGTATGGTCCCCACCACTCTTTTCTTTAATCATATTTTAAAGCACAGGTCAACTATTATTTATGCTTTTTTGCTATYCTCATTCAATGCTTTAAGAATTTTCTGTTTTTCAAATTACTTTAATGTGAGTCATGATATTCCTTTGAGTGAATATATACTTATTTATATATTCTCCTTTTGTGGGACATTTAAATTGCCTGCAATTTCTTCATATTATAAGTGAAGGAATGAAATAGTACAAGTAACAGAATTTTTAAAGAATTTTTAGAATTCTTTTTTTAAAAAATAAGAATTATTTCTTTGGGACAGTTTCCCAGAAGTAGAAGTACTAGGTCAAATGGTATGAATGTCTTTAAGGCTCTTGAAAAACATCACCAAATTGCTTTCCAGAATGTTTGTTAGGAATTTATACTCCCACTAGCAATATACAAGAATGTACACCCTTAGCAGTAAATTTAGAGATTAATTAACGATTAAAAAGCTGACGAACACTTGTTGGTTTGATGCAGTGGCTGAGATGTCTTGGGCTTGCAGTCCCTAACTAGGGAACTTGAATCCCCCAAATGATGTGGTTCATATCAACTCTCACTTAGTTTCTCTGGAAGATGCATCCACCTCACCTATCACCCAGCAAACAGTTTAGGCCCTTGTCTGACAGCACACTCTCAAAATGACTGCTTTACTGAACCAGTCAGTCAAAAGGCCAGCAAGGAGGAGGGGCTTTTCTTTCTTTTTTTTTTTTTTTTTGGTACCAGGGATTGAACTCAGGAGCACTTGAACCCTGAGCAACATCCCCAGCTCTATTTTTTGTATTTTATTTAGAGACAGGGTCTCACGGAGTTGGAACTTGCAATCCTTTTGCCTCAGCCTCCCAAGCTGCTGGGATTACAGGCATGTGCCACCTGCTTGGAAAGAAAGGGCCTTTCTATAAGGAAGACCCCTGGAAGGCTGGAA